GTGAAGCTGCCGGCAGCCTTTGCCAGAGGCTGCAAATGACCTGCAGCACCGCGTTGTACTGTTCGATGCCACTTTGATAACAGATAAATGTAACCCTGAGATGGCAACTACTCCCTTCTGTGCATTTCACCTGAGTAATGCTTCCTAGCACAAATTCATCAACAGTAGTTAACAGCTGTAGCAGAAGGAAGCTGCATAAACTGGTAGCTTTGAAGAGGACTGGTTGCCTCGTTACTAGCCTTTCTTTGTTGCCACAAGCAGGGATACATTAAAGGTCTTAATATCACAAACACTTTCAGTACTAAAATATTTCAATAAATCTTACTGCTCTCTGACACAAATAAGGATGCTTGTCAGAGATGGAAACATTTTAGGAGATCAGATATGGTAAGGAATAATAGGTTTTCCTAATATGTGGTTGAGATCTCCCAGGTTTTTTTTTCCTTTTTTTAAAATTATTAACAGAAACCTGCAATGAAGTATTGGTAAAATTAATTAACTGTTAATTCAAATTGCTAAAGTACATATATTTTTTTTAATTGCCTTTTATAAGTAATTTGCTAGCAGCATCCTAGCTTGATAGCTAGTGAAAATGAATTTAAACTATGTGTCTAAATTGCCTAAACTGTGTGTTTAAATTGTCATATATAGGTAACAAACATTTTAGCCCTTCACTCCAGTATCTTTTGCCAATAACAATCCTGTCCACAATCATAACTGAGTGAAGTATGAGCCTCCAGCCAGCAATCCAGGCAGGATACAACAGCAGTGTAAATTTCATCTGGAAGTGGAAGGCTGTTTTGATTAATGAAGGCAAAAATCTGGGATATTAGACTTTAGTCTGAGACACCAATGGAAAACTTGCAGTTAAGAGCATTCCACCTCACTGGCTTGAGTCTCACAACTTAGCAGGTCCGATGTCCAGTACTGGAAAAGCAGTGAAAGATGACTTTATGGACATCTACAGACCTACACAGCTGTAGAAATTAATGCTGTTCTACTTCAAGTCTTCAAGTAAAAGTCTACTTAGCTGTAATTTTATTGTTTCAGGCAAATGTAACTGAATATATTGTATAAACGTTTCCATTTCTCCTTATCCGCACTGATCTGTACCATGCTCTAATTTTTGCTCTCGTTCTGATTATTTTAGAAATAAGGTTTACCAAGAACAGCAACAAGATGACATCTGTGCTCCAAAACGTCAAGGCAACAATGGCCTGGCGGAAACACCAGCTCCTAGCTGATTTTGATGAGAATGAGAGTCCTGTACCTGACAAATTCAAGAGAAGGGCTTCTTTGAGTTCTCTCAATACCTTCCGCATGTCTCTAAGAAATCGGGTACCATTAAAACAAGTAGACCTGAATTTTCATAAGACCCCAACCTGGGAAAGTCTGGAAGCACGACAGAATAGTCAAACTCTTCAGAGTATTAAAAGAAAAGCAAAAAACGCTTTTGGAACAGTGTCCCAGGTACTTTGCCATTGTGGATAGAGTTAAGCTTTTGCTTCAACTTCAGTACTAAGATTTCTGCACTCTGATGTATTCCCACTTGCACACTGTAATGGCAGTGGGGTTGGAACTTGAGGATTCTATAATTCTATTAATTACTACAATTTTTAATATTCTTGCTAGAGAAAAAACAATTTTGGATATGACAGAAGAGGGAGGAAGGTGAAAAGAAGAAATATTAATTTAGTTTCATTAAAACTTCTATTTTATTATTAAATAAATAATTTTCCCCTGCTGTGTTTCTTCATGTACGGCAGAGCAGCCTTCACAAGAAGGAAGGTAGGTAGAGACTGCCACTGCTTGCAAAGAATAGTTTCCAAGAAATGTGTAGTGCTTTGGGTTTATTTTTCTTTACGCCTTTTCCTGTACACATGCTATTTATTATGTTCTTAATTACAGTCACTCTAAATCTGGACTGACAAAAACTGCTAGATGGAACCAGGGTAGCGAAATCGAGCTTGCACCTCCCATTGGTGGAGAACCTGAGTTTAACTGCATCAATTATATGTTAGGGAGCTTGGCTCTTTCTTGCTTGAAAGAGCAGCATGAGCTCTGTTCCAAGGCCTGCTCAAGACCTTGACAAGTTCCAAGGACTAGGAGAGTAAATTACTTCTCCAATGCAAGTAGGTACAGAGGGTTGAGAAGCATTCATGTTAGACAAAACCTGATATGAGAATGAAAACTAGCGATTTAGCTTAAACATTCCCTGTCTTTCTGGTTCCAAACTGTAGGCTAATTGGTTTTATTTTTCCTTCAGAAAATACAGAAGTCTTGCCAAAGCCAAGTCCACTCAATGGTAACATTTCCAGCTAAATCCATCAGCAGAAGCTGTGCAACTAGATCTACGAAGAAAAGAAGTACTATACCTCAAACTCCTTGCCATAAGAAGAGTGTTACTCCACCAAACAGTTCCAAAGGCATGCCAAGATCCAGCAGAAGTGCCTTGCCTGGGCCAACAAGGGTGTCCGAACATAGAGAATGGAGGGGTTTCTCATCCTGGCTTGGTAAAGACACTGTCTTTCTTCGGAGATCAAGAAGAGCAGCAGCACTGAAGAGCCCTTATTCATCACCTGCTCCTGCCACAAGAAAGATGTAAGCCACACTCTCTTCTAAACCATACTCTTTTAAAAATCATTATTATGAAACTTATAACTTCATAACTATTAAGTTATGAAACTTAATTTTGTGCTATGACAAGAACTTATTACTGTGATTATCTTGTAAGGTGAAAGGCAAGATAGGAAGGTTGCTATCCCTACTCTTCTGTAGTTACAGGTTCCTTTATAGACAGGGACTGAACACTGCATAAAGCTGAAACATGAAACTTAATTTTGTGCTATGACAAGAACTTTCTAAAAATCACTCTCCTACTGGGTAAGTTTACACCGTGTTTCTCAGCACCAGTCCCCATCAGGCACTACAGACATATCTGAGTTCTTTGCTGATGCCTTTTTGGTAAAGAAAAATGCTTTCACTGCAGTTCCCTTCTACCTGGCTCTAACTTTTTCAAAGTTGGTATTTGTATTGCAGAGTTACCTCGGCTTATGCTGAGATCTTTATAGAGATTATAGAGATTCTTGCCTCAAGGATTTAACACAATTTAGACAAAGGGTTGTGAGCTAGGGAAATACATCATAATGCACACATAGGTTTTTGTTTTGGTCAGAGTCACATGAGAAATGTCAAAGCTAGAAGCTCAATCAAAACCTTGTGAATCTGAACAGTGTTTGAATTGGAAGACAGCTGTCTGTTAGATGTGAAGAGTTGGTCACTGGAATTAAGAGCATGACTGTACAGCCATAAACTCTGGGTAAAGTCTGGAGGTAACTATAGCTGCTGCTGCAGAGATAGAAGCTTAGGTAGTGTCACCTAGTCAGCCTGTTAAAATCTTGAGTAATGACGATTCTGTTTGCAGCGAGTTTGATTGCGAGTTGGAGCTGGTCTCCTCAGGGATTTGCAAATTGAAGCATATCTCCCAGGCATCCGATGAAGCCATTGTGCAGGAGGAGAGGTAAATACCACTAACTGTCCCTCAACTTTTAGCAGCAGGTTACCTTCCACTCAGACATTGCCAATTGAAGGCTAAGCAAACCCTGTAACTCAGGATGAGGAATAGTTGTAGAACTTTATCAGCTGTAATGTAGCAGAGCCTTTCTTTCTTCAAGATACCTGTGCAGATTAAATTTGCAGTTGGACTTGCAGCTTCTGAAAACTGTGAAATGCTCTCCTTCTCTTCAGGTTTCTTGCTGTGGAAGTCAGTTTTTCACAGCAAGAGCCTACCTTTACCTTGTAGAGAACAGTACCTCCCTGCCTCTCTCTAAAAGAGGTGCCAATCCAGGCTGGAGTGGAGTGGAAATCCCATTGTGCTGACACTCTAATTCTTGCCTGGATATTTATAAGAAAATCCTTTTATTAAGTAGCATTACATTAACAAATAGTCTATAACTCAAATTTAGAGGATGCAGAAGCCTCTTATACAACATTTTGGTTAATTCATGAGGTGGTAGGCTGCAGTGTTTGTGAAGGTTATGTCATTTGGAATTACATGTACTAAGACAGTAAAAACTAAAGGTCAGAAGTCTTGTCACAGGGCAATTCCCTAAACTTCTTCCTGTTTTTGAACACTTGCTGTCAAGCATTCAATAATTAAATGCCAAGCACCTAAAAATCTCTAGAGAGGGCTTAGCATTAAGTACTTCTGTCTACAAAGGTAAGGGCTTAAAATCCTACATAATTTTGAAATTCAAATGTTTACCAATGGGATAATTTATAGATAACCATAGGTGAAGTTTTATATTAAGTTAATGATCATATTCATTGAAAGTTCACTCAATCTCACTCCTAATATTCTCCCATCTGTTAGTGATATGACAGTTTCTCTCATTCGTAACTGAAGATAGTATCAACCAGGTAAAGTAGTTGTTCACTTACCTTGTATATATCTGCATGCATCTGTGGGGAGAAAACCTGCTGTTTCCAGAGAGAAAAGTTTATTAACTAGAACTACTCTAAAGTATTATTATGCAGAACCACAAGGTTCTTCCTTCATATTCATTGTAGCTACAGTGATCTGCTACAGGAGATCATTGTGCAGTTGTAAAACTTCACTTCTACACTGTGATTACTGAAACCTTGTGGGTTTGCAATGAACTCCAAGCTGGATATCTATACAAACAGCAGCTTTTCTCACTCCAGACTAGAAAACTACTGGTACTAATGTCTTTGTCACTCAATGTCAGTCATCATTGATTACTAATGAAGATCACTAAATATGACAGAACAAACCGCTACACTGAGCTAATTTTACAGCCTTTCTTTTCCATCTCTAGCATTGTCTTAGCAGTTAAGATAATTCCATCACAATAAACAGCAGTTAATACCTGGACTGCTGGCATTTTTAAACATAGCACTTGTACCTAAATGGAAAAGAACAGGAATTCTTTGCTCTAAGTTTCTAAACATCACTTCTAGTGTCAATTAATTTAATCACTACCAGGTAAATGCCTCTTACCTTCACTGAGACCTGTATTGTGAAATGAAGATCTTCACCCACCATGTTGGAACTGTTACTTTTGTTAGAGGAAGTTGCAGCCTGAATACTATGCCCTATTTTAGCAACAAAGATAGGTGTAAGAAGGTGATTGCTGTATTTCAGGAAAAATGAGAGCAGTTTCAAATGCTTGACTGAAACTTTACTCGTGTGTACTGCTTCCATTAAGCAATTTGGTCCAGTGCTCTTGCATGTGTAGATGCATACAATGTGCTCGGTCACTGGCTGGTTTGTAGGTTGCCTACTGGATTAATTGTGAAATAAACCTTTTTGGAGGTGCCCTTACAGTCTTGTATATGACTTTCTGTTCTTGTATCCAATTGCTGTGAGTTTTAGTGTTACAGCTCTTTTTTCAGTCTTTTCCATAATGAAACAAACCTTGATCTCAAACTGTTTCTAGTTGCTAGCTCCATGTGTTGTTAAAATGTTCCTTCATTTTAATTACTTAGATTGTATCTAAGAAACACTCCTGTTCTTAAAGTATTGCAGTACTTAATTTGTGTGCTGCTATGTATGCTCACTGAAGGTACAAAATATTTTCTTGCTCATGTTTAGAACTGTTATGCAGTGAAAGTGTACAGATCCAAGACTTCTTCCTTGCTCCCATCTAACAGTTCTCCAGCAATTTGTATGACAACCAGTTAATTAACTGCACTGACTTCATGCTGCTAATGGCAGTCTTGTTCTTCTGCAGGCAACACGCAATATCCAACTACTACTCTCTAATGGCAGAAAATGTTCAGTCTGCACGTCGATCTCAAAAACTTTCTCAAGCTAGCAGAAGGCAAGCAAAGAAAATCCATCAAGCCCTTGGTACTTAGAGACAGTTGTAACTATTGTTAGTTTCTGAGCATATGTAAAGGAGAGCTCTGGGTAGCACCTGAAAGAGTGCACTCTATACGTTGAACAAGCCATTACATTTTATAATCTTTCTTAACAAAGCAGCTCAGGACTTCGCTTCTTTTCAAGTGAACAGAAGAATCAAAATTGTACTAGAGTTTATTATCTCCTGCTGAGATAAGGGATAGTCTTGGATGTGACTTTGATGAGGCAGTAAGTACTTTCAAACTTGTGTTGAACTAACCAGTAGGAATGGCCAGAGCAAGGGCCACAGATGTACAAAAGGTGATCATAGTAACGTTTAGACTGGTATACAACTGACATGAATTTTAGTAGGAGTATTTTGTATACTAAAAATACTGGTCCCATTATTTTGAAAGTCTATCCTTTCTTTTCTGCATACAAACAAACCAAAAGTTGAGCATCATGTTTAACTGGAAGTTAATGTAACAGTAGTGGCTTGTTTGAGTTTTGACCACAACTGCTATTCCAAGGCAACAGGTCACTCACATCACAAGGGTGAAGCCACACTAGGACTCTTTAATTTATGGCCTCAAGGATTGCTATTAGATTTGCCTAACAAATCCTATAAGTAGTTGAATTCCAGACGAATGAGAGCAACTTTGTAATTTCTTGCTGCTGCTTTAAACAGCATCTTTGAGTAAAGTTAAACATTGCTTTTTTACTGCACGTATGTATTTTAGTTATACACAGAAACTGGTTACTATAATTAATGTAACCTCTTACAACTACTTTTATTAGCCAATACCACAGTGCAGGTATTTTATGGAGTATACTAAGCATCTAATACCTATATTTTGCTATTAATTTTTTTATAAAAAGTAACATTCATTTGACAAGCCTTTGCTGGTATGTGATTCGGTTTAGCTAAGTTTAGTCTTTAAAATTAAAGATTTCTCAAGCTTCTAGAATTCAACACCAGGGCTGTTTTCCAGAGTAGTAGCAGCTTTGCACATACTTCTAGGATTACACTCACTCTAAGATGAACCTTCAATTTTTAAGATGCACATGTAATTTAGTAAAACTGAAACTACTAAAATGCTAATGGTAGTAAGTATAAATATGGGAATAAATCATGTTAAATTCTGATTTAATACTGATTTTTCTTTTTTCTTGTCAGACTGTTTTAAAATATTGAAACAGTTAATGAGACCTGGAAACACTGAAAACAGCCGTGATGTCAAGGTTTAATGCTGGGTTTCCAGGCTTCCAGATGAATGGGAGCTTTAGCCTGTATTATTTCTTCACATAATTTTTGTCTGATTTAGTGCTTTGATTTTGTTTTGTGGGGTTTTTTTAACCAACTTTCTATATGGAAGAGTAGCCTGAAGTTATTATTTGCATGTACTGAATCTAATTCTATAAAGTTTTCACAAATATAGTGTCTCATTACTGAAGTATTTTCTTATGACTTTTCTAACAGCCTCTATTTATACTATTTCCACTGGTTACTAGGACATGTACAATGATGACCTAATATTTCCAACATCACTGGTAAGAATAATCAGTGACACTGTTTGCTTAAAGGCAAGGAAGGTTTTATTTAAGTGACTAATCTGTTATAAGATTTTAAAAACCAGCTCACATCAAAATCTATACCAGTTGTAGAAATCTTACTCCTTGTTTCATATTAAAAAATGTACAATAATTAATTTCTTAATCTTTACAAGGCAGCCATAAGAAATATAAACATTTGTCACTAGATAGACCCTTCTCACTGACAAACAATATTTAAAAGTATGCACACTTAATAAAACCATAGAGTGAAAGAACATGTACAATTTCAAGTTTCTTTGTATGAATTCAGTTTAAGTGGACTGTCCCCTCCCCACAAATAGAAAAATACATTATGCAGCAGGCTTGGGTTTCTGTGAGAGGACTGCCATTCTGGGCCCTACACCAGTCCTCCCAGAATAAACTTATCTGTAAAGTTTGCAATCTGTAAAATAGGTTTATAAGTTGTAATCTCTGGTATACCATCTCCCAGCACATCACAGTAAACCTGCCCGTCTTCCCCCTATAAGTTATATATATTATTACAAATTAAAAATGAACTGCCAAACTTGTTTCATGTTTCCCTGTCCCCCACACATCTATCCAGTTTCAAATGTAGCTTATTGAGAGAAATACAAATAGAGGGTAAACTGTAATCCCCTTACCTTGGGCTGCAACTGGAAAGAGGAAATACCAACACCTGACTTCAATTCCAGAGTCCATAGCTGCTCCAGGCCATTTCTTACTTCTGAAAAAAAAGAGCTTTTTTCATCCAGAAAAATGTGTTATTACCTCCATTTTTATGGGGGACTGAATTTAGTCTTTTGGAATCTATATTTACACTTCAGTGATTAAATACCATGGAAGTCAAATTACCTTCTTAAACTCACTATTTCTGCTGAATCTATGAACACAGACCATTGCTCTTAGAGAAGCTGAGGAGTGAGTTGGAAAGTTTTGTTTATGAGAATTCTATCCTGTGCCAGGCTCCAGATGAGGACAGGAAGTACCACTTTCTCCCCTGCATGCCTGAAATGAACAATTCAATGCAGAAATCTTGAGTTCAGATTGCACATTTTCAAGCTCTATGAAATCGCAGTGTACAATTTCTTCTCTACATTATTAAGCCAATGAGCTTATTTCAAAGGTGCCCATACTCAAATAATCTAGTACATTTATGATGTACTCACCTTTCTGTGGCTTAGATGCAATAGGGGGAAAAAAAACCTGGGGAAAACCCTATTTGTTCAGTACCAATTGTTGCACATATCAATTTTAAAAACTGAAAATACCTACCAGTTTCAGGTATTATTAAACACACTTATAAACAGCTTTTTAGCAAATTTTAGACATGAAACAGCCAGTACCCTCTGATGGCATCAGCTCACGACAGAAAGAAGGAAAAAAAAAAGAAAAATCTTTTTTCCCTAATTTAGTCTGTGAAGTATACAATGACACTAAAATCTCAGTACTGGGCATTTGCTTACATACACACATTACTAGTGCCCTGGCCTAAAGCCTGCAATGTATAAATAGGACAACTTGTTCACTAATAATGGCAAACACCAGCCATTTTGCAGAATGCTAGATTTCTCAGATGAAGTGGTTTTGTTCTGCTTATTTTAATAGCAGATTGTGTGTAGTTTTCTTCTGTAGTTTACTGCTAGTTCCACTTTTACAGAAGCAATGAAAATTTTAACTGTTTAGAAGTGATTTCCCTTGGTACTAGAGGAACAGGTGAAGTAACCTGTAAGAATTAGGACTATTTTCATGTAAACACATCAAAATAGCAGCTTTCATGAACCCAAAAGAACAAGAATTATCAATGCCACTGATTTTTACAACCAACAAAATTTTATGCTGAATAGATATAAACCATGCCACAAAACTAAACAGGAGTACTTTTGTCAAGCAAGAATAAGATCCAAGAGCACTAGTGTATGCAAACACTTTAAAATTTAAAATCAGTTATTAAAAACAAACCAGTTTGGTTCAACAACACTATTCAGGTCTGTGGAACATTGTGCACTCTATCTTTTTCAAACTCACCTAACTAGACAACAAAATGAATAAACAGCCATTGGGGTTTTTTGTTTGGTATTTTTTTAAAGTATATTGGATATAGGTTTGCTGTGAAAACAAAACCAAAACTTCAGTTAAGGTGTCTTTTTTTTTTTTTCAATACTTTAGAACTGGATCTGTATCAACAGGGCAGAGAAGTAAATGCTACTGAATGAATGAATGAATGAATGAATGAATGAATGAATGAATGAATGAATGAATGGGGCTACTTTGCACTGACTTGTATGCTGCCTTAACAGTTGTGTTATATAGTTTGACTTATGCTTCTTCCATTCAGCAGGTTAAAAGAATGTGCTTTTCTGTAACAGACTAGAGGCACTAAAGGTGCTGAAACTCCTGACAGGTCTACCTGTGTTCCTTGGGCACCCACTTTTCCATCTGATTTCTCTGTCTCTTTCTCTTCTGTGTATGCTTTAACACTTCCATAGCCTATAAAGTCTAAGTGCTGACGGCACAGAGATTGCAGCAGTGAGGACCTGGAATCAGAGAAGACAACTGTAGGATTAAGCTTATCCTCAACAAGTGGCCTGCTTAGGAGGACTGACAATCCTTCTGAGAGCACAAGTAAAACTGAAATCCAGTTGCAAACTGAATTCCCATGAACCACTACATGCAGTTTCAGGTGGACAAAGTGTATAACTAAAATTCTGACCATAAGGAAATGGTTTAAGAGAAAACATGACTGAAAAATGATGTTATAAAAGTAGTGGTTCATCAGACAAACCTCAGGGGTCACCTCAAGCAAAGCTGAGGAAAACAAACAAACAACTAGTGGTTCAACATGCCTGAGTTCCCCAGCCATTGTTACAGAATATTTGTTGAACTGCCAGTCTACTTGTGAGATGTCTAAAACATACTTTCAGCTCCAACATAAGTTGTTTTACCATTTACTGGCAACTGGCTAGTGCTACCAAAACAAATGCATCTGGCATCTGATGTTTCAGAAGGTTGGCTCCCAACTAACATGAAGCTTTGCTCTCCAAGCTAATGCCTGTATCATCATTTGCCAAAGTTCTCAGCTGGAGGCATGTGATCAGGAGATAAACCATCCCATCCCTGAGCAATAGATAGTATTGGAATTACGCAAAGGCCACATGAGCTCTCTTATATTGTAGAAAATTAAGTTAGGGAAGATATTTTCAGTTGATTTCAATGTCATGGGTAGAAACTTTGAAATTGTTACCACTCTAAATCATGCACACACACACACTTGCATTTGTTTTACTGCTATTAGCTCATAATATTCTTAAGAAAAGCCAACACAGTGACTACTGTAAAGGTGACCCAGTTATTAACAGAAATACACAAAATCAGAGTTTTCATGACATGGTACCCAACAAAATGACTTTGTGTTTGCAAGAGTAAAAGACAGACCTTAACAACCTAGGAGATTTCTCTAACCCTGTGCTCAGATGCTACTTTCTTTAATACAGTTAGAATTATGCACAGATCCTTCTTTTGAAAGGAAGCAGACCTTTCTACTACAGCAACTTAAAGCATTGACTTTGGAGGCTCTTGGATGGTAGAGGTAGACAGTTAAAGCAACATTAGCTCTGAACTTTGCAGCAGGAACAGTGCTTACTGTCAGGAGACATGCTACACAACACCTAGTGCTTAAAAATAACTTTGCAATCAATCAACGCTGCTTTTAGGCCCCTCAGCACATTTAAAATTTGCCTAGTGAGTTCTTCTCTCACAAGCCTTGGATTCCCATGCCTATTTTAAACTAATGAACAGGAGCATGCTAACAGTGAACTGACTGGGGGGAGATGGAGACCAGTGTACCTGTGCAATCTCCTCCTAGCTGCTGAGGACAGGAGAAGAAATGGACAATATGATTAGAACTGAGACACACAGTGGGACCAAAGAGAACACAGAATAACTCCTTCCAGTTTGTGGATTAAAGAACTAGGTGGGATACTGCTGGGAAAGCATTTGTAAACCTGAAGACGGCCTCAATGTAGTTTGTGGCTATCTTTAACCTAGCTTTTGTAGCTGGCTGACTTGGCAACAGAGCATAAAAGCCCAGGCACCTGCAATGTAGTTACCTGCTCTACTGTTTGTGTGAGTTATCAAACTTTTAATACCTTTCTTAAATCTTTAGCAACTATTACCCTTTCCCTTAAAGGAAGCATTATTAAAAAAAAAAAAAGTGCCAGAGATTTTTCAGGAAGTTTGAAATAGATAACTGAAAATCTTGCCAACTAATGTCTAAAAAAATAAAGACCTCCATTTGTAAGAGACTTTTCTGCCTTTTAAGGCAAAAGCCACATTACTAATCCCTTTAAAAAGCGCACTGAAACTTTTAGGTGAGTAGGGAATATAGACATAGGCTTACTTCTGCATTGTCTTAATAGTTTTCAGTTGTATTTCTTGTTCACTTTCCATGTCAACTTTCGAAATCATTAACCAATAGAGTTGTTGAAAGACTGTTTTTGGTCTAGCTACAGACATGGAACACCTGAAAGCAAGGAGGGGAAAGAAGGGAAGGGCACAACACTCTCTCCACTCCAACTCCCTGAAATTAAAACTAAACACATCTGCATAAGAATTTATTCAAGCTTTCTGAGTGTCAGTAGTCTGGTTTTAACTTTTAAAGAAAAGGGGCTTTATGTGCACTTGTAGCTTAATTGTGGGCTTCAAAACATACTTCAGTTCAGTCATCGAAGTTCTCTTGGTGAACTTAGTGCCGTGGAACTATCTTCATGAAGAACCTGCAAACTGCTACTATACTCAAATAACTACAACTATACTCAAATGACTACAACACTTAAGAAATACTACCACTTAGGGAAAATTTGACTTCTAGTAAGCTCATTGAGAGATCTGAGAGAAATTTAAATCAGTAGGAAAACATCTACTTGGAACCTATAATTTGGCATGTCCACATTTTGAAGCTCAAATGCTTCAATTCTGAATGCTATAGATTGTCTTAACGCAGCAGTTGCTACAAAGCATGAGAAAGGAAACAATTTACCCATAGGAATTCCATTACTTTTTTCGTTAGAATAATGAAAAAAGTGATTGCTCTGAAGTTTGCAGATCCCTTAGTAAAAGAGCTCCTTTTAGCTTACCAACTTAGGATCTGTCTCTTAAACTGAGATGGTTAGAGCTATCTCCTTACTCAGAGTAGTTCACACACTTCGTACAGTCACCAAGTTCCACAAAACAATGTGATCTTTGTACACTTGCACAGTACTTTGTATACAGCAACACTAACTGCTTCAAACTGTGGCAGACACATTTATTTCTAATAAAGATTTTATGATTCGGTTCAGAAGTGGAGTTCTCTCCCATTTACTTGATGTCCAGCACCTCACACAAACGTGAGTGCCCACGTTGATTGAGGTCTGCTGACCAACACTGTAAGCTGAAAGGAAATCTTGGGTTTAAGGCACCCAGAAAGCATCTTGCTGTACAAATCCTACCTCCATTACTGTAGTTCCCACCTCTGCTTCCCTTGCAAATGTATCACTTTATTGAAAGGGAAGTGGAAACAGATACAACTATTTAATGTTCAAAGTGTAAACGTTTGTAACCTTTGGGACCTACTGCTTCAGGTGCAGCTAGTTAGATGATACCACAATCCTTTTAAGTAAAATCGGCCTGTTTTTTCTCTTATTGCACATTTCATTACATCTGCTGCAAAAAATAAGCAGAGATATTTCCTGTTGCTTTGATGTTATAAGCACTTGCAATAGTTTTAGATTGTTTTAAAATTTCCCAATAAACGTGTCAAGAGGAAAAGACATATAGTTCCCCAGTTGGTTTAAGAAGGCAGATTCCAGAGCAGGGAAGACTTCAAGGTACAGGTTCCCCTCTGTATCTCTTTAGTTTGAAGCTGCCTAAGTATTGTCTTTGAGGCATGCCTACAATTTTTATGGGGTGCACCCAAGATCTACATTCCCAAGCTTCCCTAGGGGACAGATTCAAATTTGTGAACTCCACCTCGAACCCAAGCAACGGAGGGCAAATGCCTGTCATGGTCTTTGTCTGATTCAGGTTGGCTCTGGGCACGCTCTGGCTTGGGGTTAGAAGAAGGTGGGTCAGGCTGCTGCACAGACATAGTCCTGCGGAGATGATTTCTTTTGCGCAAAAACTCAGGTTGGGAGTGGAGGCCAAAGCTGCCTTTTCTCAAGATCATCCGAGAGTTGTTCTTCTTGGGTCGTGAATGGAGACTGAACTCCAGCGAGGCCAAGTGAGCTGCATAACCTTCACTGAGGAACTGAAATACGAAGAAAAGAAAGGGAATGACTAATTACTGCTGCCTTGACCTAGGAGCTCCATTAGAAATTAAGTTCCTACCTTTGGCATCCCAGTTAGATACCTACAGAGTAGTAACACTCTTCTTCCGTCACTTTAAGTGACCTGTTCCATTCCATTCTCTATTCACCCCATCAGAAAATGCCTCATCTGAAACAAAACTGCCCTTCTGTCTCAGAAACATTGTCTCTGCTCTTTATAATTTCTATGTGTGTGTTTGCACATGCATGCATTTCCTTGTTCCCCCATAGGACTTCCTGATCGAGTAGCAAGACCTACTTACTTGACACTGTGCCTGGTATTTCTTTGTTGATCTCCCAACTATGTAGATCTGGGATGGTGACAGAGCCAAGACATTGTACACAGAAATATCCTTCATTGAACCGTATGCAGCACAGATTTTGATGTGGCACTGAAACAAATATTACTTCCAAAGTGAACACTGTTAAATTCTATGCATTACTAGGACAGCACTTGTTTTGCAATGAAGCAGCAGATGAGTTCATTGTAAACAACCTCGTTCTGTAAATCACAGGTTAAATCTGCCTGCCTGCATGCCAGCAAGGACTACAGATACCCACAAAGGGAAGAACTAGCAGTTCATCTTTTTATTTGTCATGCCAGGAGGTCCCTTTGGATGTTTTATCAGCCTGCTGTGCAGTTTAAAATGTAATAAAAGGAAATTAGGAATGGCAAAAAGACTTTGAAATAGCCAGTGAAATTTACTTTTCAAAAGGAAGGGAGATCCCTAACTTCACTGAATGACACTGTCTAGAAAATGGTTTTAAGGCTACAAACAGGTTTCTAGTACCTCTTGCATAAGATTCCGGAGAAAAATGGTCTTTTGTCGCAGTGGGTCATGAACAAGTCCATCTGAGAAAAAGATCATCCCTTGTGGAAAGTTATGTTGAGACAACCATGAAACTACACGCTGTTTTTGCATATCTGGACGACCAGTAATATAGATAATCAGATAGCCCAGGTCCTGCCAATGCCTGTTAGAAACAGCAGGTAGATTATGTAGATGCAGAAAGAAACAATACTCACAGGTCAGATCATCACTTCTTTACTCAACACAGACCCACTTCAAAGTTGGATGTATTCCCCAATAAGTGGAAAGCAGCATGCCTAAATCTCTGCTCCTATTGAGAAATTAAGTAATAGTGTCTACATATTGAGAGAGATGGAGGGAAGCAAGACAGATTCTTGTAAACTATATGTGAGAGCTATTTTTAAATGTGTTTAGAATAGACCTTGCTACACATCAAGTCCCACTATCTTTGAAACCTTTAGTGACATTTCCTGCCATTTCAGCTGTAAGCAGTGCAGACTCTTGAAAACTGACATCCCTCCACTCCCATGTAAGTTCCAAAATGAGAGTTGTATTTCCCTGCCCAGTGTGACATTAACAAACTTCCAAGAATGGATTAAATGCCTTTTGATTTTCCTCCAAAAAATGCTCTTGCATTCATGGCACTTTATATTTCTGAAGTGGAATTATATCCTCATTGAAAGCTAGCAAAACACAAAATACACATTGCTAATGACAACACAGGGAATCATCATTAATTCACTGCCACATTTCCAAGAAGCAACTTTTAGCCTCTAGGCAACTTAAACTACAAATTTCAAAGTAAACCATAGCATCCTAAGATTCCTCTGATAAACAGACAGACTTGATGTCCAAGCAAATACAGAAATCTATATGCAAAGAATCCTGGCCTTTAAAGAATTGTTGTTTGTTTAGTTAAAAAAAAAAATAAATCTATTCTGCCCTCTTCCTTCCTATTGTGTTGAAACAGGAAAGTCAGATTTAAAAAGTGAGGTGTGCAAAACTCACTTACCTGACAACATCAACGGCCCCAGCTCGGACTTTGGGGTCACTTCCCATAATTGAAACACTTGCTGCAAATGAACCGTCAATGCTGAACACAACACATTCCATTCCTCGGGGAAGAACAGTCAGGTAACTGGTGGCACTGCTCTGATCTCCTCTGAAGAGCCAAAACAATAAATACATGTAAAAAGAAAAATGTCAGAATGTATTTACTGCACATTGCAGTTAGGACCTGAAATTAGAACTTTCTGGATCAACAGTTCAAAAAATTGCTGTCAAATAGGGCTTCAGATTTCAGTTCTATGTGGGGCAACTAAAACTTAGACTTTTAGGAGATAGCTTTCCAAGGAGAAATTTGGAAGCTGACTTCAATAGAAATCACACATGTATAAATACCTAAAAGAATGAGAGGGAAAAGAAAACCAAGACAGCCTAAAGTACTCAAACTACTACTCAAACATATATACAAGCATATATAGGTCTTATATATGTACACACATAAGACATGAACATATTCACACTTAGCACACAGAAATTAGCTACATTTTTTGCCAGAAGCCCACAGCACTGGCAAATTATTAGAAGTTACAAGGGAAGGATTTATATGCATGTTTTATTGGTATGCACTTACACACATCAGCTTTTCTCCATTAGATATAAAGCTGGTAATATCAGCATTACCCATGAGAATGCCAATCCAGAAAAGTGTAAAAAAAACCACAAAACAAAACAAAAGCCTAATCCCAAACAAAACCTAAACCAAAAGAGAAATACAATCATAGATGGCTTTGAAAGACATGTAAAATGCAATCATCTCCTTATGATGTATTCTCCCCAAGAGGTCTGGACATTAGTGCTAGTTTGGGCACGTCCAAACTGGCCAGTAAACAGATGCTCTTTGCTCCAAAGCTAAGCTGACAAGACAGTGGCAAGGCCAAGAAAAGATAACTAACAGTCCAAAATGTCCCTCTGCACCCCCTTCAATCTTATACACTTCAGTGTTCCTGATCACAGCTGTAGTCCCAGCTTGGAGCCATTACCTGACCACCATTTTGATCGGATACACACCAACTCTCAGTCTCTTCTGTTTGGGTATGCTGTAGGATATCCGGCCACTACTGTTGGATATCTCTGTGTCAAAGTACACCCACCTACCCGAAGATGGCTCAGTCATTATGAAGATATCAACCTGCAAAAACAACAGAAGGGTCATCTGGGGGTTGTCAGTGGGCAACACACTCCCTATTAACAAGGCCTACCAAGCACAGATCATGCTTATCTATCTAACTATACCTGGAACTAAATGCTTAACAGAAGATTGAAGGAACTTCAAAACCCAGTAAAAACTTCACAGAGGGTGCTCTCAATTAGAAAATGCTTTCTAACACACAAGATTTTACTGACTTGATTACTTAAAGCACTCAGCAATGCAGGTGTAAAATGAAGACACAGAGCTCAGAAATCTGGCAGGAATCCTAAACTAGAAAAAATAATTTAAGTTTGCATGTGAATATTACATTTTTGCAGACAAAACCTAAAAAAGCAAAAATTTCATCTGGCTATTAGCAAAATGAAATCTTTCTCAAATTTTAACCTTGCCTACAAATGCAAAACCTAAAGACTTCAAATTATCAATATTTTTTTCCAAAAGGTCTGTTTGATCAATATGATTTTCTTCAACTGAAATATTTAATAAAAATGAATGTAAAGTGTATTAAATATTGAACTGTCACGTTTTAGCAATAAGTATATAAGTAAATCCAAGAGAGGTATCTGCCAAGTTCTCCTTCTGTACTCAATACTTGGCTTTGTTAGCTGTATTTTTGTTGCCTGGCTACTGCAGGCAGCTTTAGCAGTGACAGTTCCAATCATGTCATATTACTACTAAAATTCTAAAACTAATCTTTATTGTTTTATATATAAGAGCAACAGCAGCCATCTAGCCTCTAGAATCCCTATTCCTTTATTTAGTTTTCTTACCTGGATAGGAAGATACACATTTTTCTTTTAGCGATCTGCCAAGCAACATAAAACCTTTTTTCCTCCTTGCTAAAAAAGTGTCCAGAGGGTGGTACAACTGGATGGCAGGTTCAGAATCACTGCACAGCACACTCATCATTAACCAGAGGAGATGGCCAGCACCATGTAAGAATGAGGAAAGCTGAGAAAAAGGTCAGCTATAAGGAAAGCCCACTTACGGCACACTTTTGCTGAAGTGGTGGGGGCTAGTGACATACTCCCTCTCACTGTAAGGGCTTTCTCTGGTACTATCAGTGTGTGTTACATTCAACAACTGTTTCTAGTAAATGCAGATTCAGAAAAATAAGAAAATTTATAACCAAACTTTACCTTTTCACCTGTTAAAGCTACCATGTCCAGAGGTCCATACATAAAGCGCCCAACCAGTACCTGAGGACCATCTTCTGCTGCAATGACGTCATTAGCTCGGTGATTAGCAGTGACATTCTGAAATAAGAGCAGAAGGTAGGAAGGGCAGTATTTGCTACTGTCTCTTACTTTACTATGAATTGTGACAGAAACACAGCCCTGGATAAGTGTGTCTGAGGTACTTCATGTAGCTTAGAGCACCTCGTGAAACTGCCTTCCTATTTCAGCTTGAGTGAGGTCTCCAGGAATGCTGGGTTCCTGAATAGACTATAGTGAAAGTGCTCAAGATGACCAAATAAGAGAGAACATTTAAGGGAATGCCAGTTACCTTCTCCTTCAAACTTTGCCACAGATGCACACAATTATGAGCAAGACACAGGCACCTTGATTGACATTTGTAACTGAAGTGGCATCTGAGCAATGACAAAAAGATTTTTTCTTGAGTTATGGATTCATCTAGCACTGAAGAAAACAGAAAAACAACCTCTTTGCTTAACTGAAAGTTAAGGCCCGTCTTTTATTTAAAGAACAAACTATGCTTTCTCTCAACACGTAGTGATAAACCAAGAATAAATTGTTCCTATTCCCTAACAGTTAATTTGTTTCCCTTTGGATTACGCCAGCAGTTTTCAAGCTCTTTAGTAATATTCAGTTACATAAACACATACTTTGTGAGACCATACTCCATTTAAATTGCTGCCAAACCCAAGTTCTATAGCTGCCATAAATATTCAGATCTTTACTTACTCTCAATTTGACATGTGTCCTTTTGCGTAGCCATTTTTCTCGTGGATTGGATGGACTTAATGTTCCTGGATCCAGGTTGTCCCTTTCCTTGAAATCTACATTTTCATACCTCATCACCTGAAATTATATTAATATTTTAATAAACAGTATATGTCCTGGGAGTCCTGGTACTTGGCAAAGAAAGGAGAAGTGCACTGCTGCCTCAGCCGAACAGCACTGCAGAGCCAAAAGCACAACTAAAGTAGAAAGAGCTGTGTTCACATTAATTGTATGGACAAACTGTTTTATGTCTGTTGGCCAACACCTGATCTCAAGTAATTATTGAACAGCTATTCCTTCAAAAACAGGAGGAAATTAATACATAACACAGGGTTATACTGATCTGGAGCATGGGAGGGGTGAGTAAAGTATGCATGACAGTGCATTGCTCCCAGTTCCACAGTCAGCAGTAAGAACGCCAGCCAGCAGTGCTAATGGTGGGCTCACTGCCCACTTCTCCAGTAAATCCACATCTGTCATTCCTACGTGCAGTTGTATGTGATACAACCACAGTTAGTCATCTGACTGAAAGAAAAGATTAAAAGACCAATCACCCTTGGAAGATGCAATTCACAATCACAAGCTTATTTGTTGCAAGGAGAAAAAAAAAGATAAATGACCTGTCTTAAAATGAAGGCCACAACATCTGTTGATTCCCAGTAGCTGGCATGGAAGAGATGTGGCAGGGCCACAGTTGGAAAAGCTGTCAGCACATCTGGACAATACAAGGCATAATCTATTCGTTTTGTTCCCCACCACTTTGCCGTAACTACAAAAGACCCAAACAAAACAGCATCAAATTTATTTATGATATCTTCTTAATAAATCTCTTGCTGTCTTTATCTTAAGCTAAATAATTGAATGAGGTCTTCTGCTTTTTTAATCTTGACATTTAGAGCCTGATAAAGGTACCATCACTTAAATGTCTGAAATCTAAAAAGTTTTATTTTGGTCCAAGTTTTGGAGCAGAAACCACCTCAGCACGATTCCCATTGCTTCCTGGTCCATGGAAAATGTACAATGAAGGGCTAGTACTTTTATGATCATGTTATAGAGTAAGAACTTTAAATGCTTCCCAAATAGTCAATGGAATATTGATGTACGACTATAGTTCATAACAGGACAATGTAAGGATCTATAGTACTTTTAATTATGAGTAACAAATCTTATCTGTCTATATTTATTAATTCATGCCTGAAGCATGCTATCAAACCCCTGTTAGTACAGAACCCTTAATGGGGAAACTTGATATAAAACTGTGACTTCATGTCTATTACTTTATCTACTTAATTACAATCAGAAGAGGAAGCTAAATTGTGTTATTTAAAATTGCAGCATCTTAGGCTGTTCTTATTCTTCCCAAATTTCCAAGTAGGCAATTTTCTTTTTCATAGTATATTTTTCCACAGAAAGAATATGGAGGGGAAGGGTAGCTGCCTTATCAGAGAGCACACAGGGCACCAGGCTTCACTCACTGTTGGTGAAGTATGCAGATGGCAAACTTTCTGTTGACCCTGAGTTTTCACTGTTTGTGCTGGCCAAGCTTAACTTTCTTGTTTTTCCTTGTGGTTGATCAAATGCGTTTGGAGATCCAGGACTCTCCTGAGAGAAAGGTACGTTTAAAGAGCAATCCTCAAGGAACAGAGCACTGTGGTTGTGGATAGCATCACCTGCAGGTTACAGAAATAAAAATATTATAAAAAATACTCATGGGATGAACAATGTGGCTTTCAAACTAGTATGTGTGTGTGTCCTTATTTATTTTAAATACAGAGCTAATGAGCAGTTTCTTTAAAATTATCAGATTTAATGACCATGGATGAAATTCCTTCACAATAAGAAGAGCAGCACGAGACAGCATGACTACATGGAGAAAGCACACACTACTGCCATCAAAATGCAATGGTAGCTGAGTGCTTTTGCAAGATCTTTCAACCTAGTTAATGATATAGGGAGGTTATTTTCCTTCACTCTCAATCCTACACATTTTCACGTAAATTCTCAGAGAAGAGCTACACAGCCCTGGGAGTCTGTGATACTTCTGTCCTCTTCTTGACAAAAGCAAAATCACTTGAAAAAGAGAACCTTCAGCAAGGCTGTCTGCTGGTCTGCGTGTCCCCAAATGGAACGGAACTCTTGTTCATTCATGCCACTGACAAAGTTATGGGTCACAGGTAACATCTCTACTTTAGGAAACAAAACACAGACTTCCTCCAGAGGGGTTCTGGAACATGTAAGAACAGACATGCACTTTAATAAAAACATTACTGATAATTTTGCTTGAGGCAGCCTACATATCCCTCCTGCACATAGTAAGGCAGACCTCAACTGAAAGAGAGGATGTACAGCAAAGTGCATATCAAAAGCAGTGGATTCCTCAGCGCTATTTTTCAGAGAACAATCCTCTCAGAAGGATTAATACAGTGAACAAAAGAAAAAGAAACCCAATTTAATGCACACAACAATAAAGAAAGCAGACAATCCTGATGAAGTATTGCTTTGTTTCTGAGAGTATTTCAGTCCCATTCAAATAAAATAAACGTGCTATGCTCATCTTTCACATGGTCTTGAGTTGGGGACTGTGTCATATGATTTTTATGCAATGGACGCCTGGAATAAATTTCTCTTCAACTTTTCAGGTCTTAGCAGCTCTCAATGCGACAAATACCTCCATTAACGGTGCACACAGGAGAACACAAGCTTCTGTTTTCAAGGTCACCATAACTTAAAAAAATACACTGGAAGTCTAAGTGTCTACAGATTATCAGAACTGGTAAAACCTGTCACCATTAAATGAAAAGGAATAGCAGCATAGCTCCCTACGATTTCCTCCCTTCCAAAAGCAGACATGGCTAGAAAGATCCTCACTTGCTTTGGCATAAGCCTGAAGATCTCAACTGCATGAGACAACACAAGAAGCTGCCCTGCAAATCAGATTAAAAAATTAATTCTAACAGTTTGTGATGGATATGTATTTTGGACAGAATGTGTTCCAATAGTAGTTTCCATGGGAACATGTGCTTTGAGGAACTGCAATGTTCTGTTCTTTCAAAGGAACCTTCTTGATGCCTTGCAGTAGGGTATTTGTGGCTACAGGAAAGCTTGGTGAAGTTGTAAAGAATGGAAGGCTACTTTTATTACTCCCTTTGTCTCAGGCAAAATCTACACTACAATGCAGAAAACTGAGGAGAAAACACAACGCTTCTCCTAATACTTACCTCATAAGATGAGAAAGTATCAAGCAGGTTTTTTTTGGTCAAAGAAGCAATAAGAAGATCTGATTCTGTGTCATTTCGCATACTGAACAGCTAGGCACCCAGTACTTCTGACAACAAATCCCAAATGATGTGTCCTACTGCAGAGAGTAGTAGAATCTACGGACATAAGCAGTAAAGAACAGGGAAGCTGCCAACCTCCCCTATCTGAACCAGAACCCTGATCCAAACATCAACCAACAGGAAGGTGCAATGAATCCTATTAACAAGAGCTATATCTCCATGACTGGCAGTGTTCTGATAAATAATTAAAAAAGCAGTGCTTACAAACAAATTTCTGCTCCTGGACTTTTTGTTGCTCTGCTGAAACAGTCATAAATTGACCCTAACCTAATCCTCCACCATTAGAATTTTGCAAGAGTTTTGGATTTTCATTCCCACTAAAATGGAGGTAGAGAGAGAAGTTAAAAATAGTAACCTTGCATAGAGTAAAAAACATGTTGTCAGCCAACATATCTTTTACCATTTTCCATATTATTGACTTGCTTAAGTTTAGCTTGGTAAGGGGTCTGGTGCCCTGAAACCCATTGTTTATTTTGTAATACTGTTATTCTAAGCTCAGTAACCTTTCTCCTTATGGAGAGATCAAATAAACAAAACGGAAGGCAATTTTGGCAGTTTTTTTCTCTCCTGTTTCCTAAATTATCTTTGGTTTAAACATGTAGGGCAGCCTGCCTGCATCTCTGTAGGTCAGGTCTTTGCTGAATTGTGAAAGAGCACTGGCTAGAAATTAATAAAATACACATAAAACTAATTTTTTTTTCTAAAAGCCCTGTGCTCAACTTCTGACTAGGACAGTCTACTCGCATAATTTTTCCATTTAAATAAATGGAACAAATACTTTCACAAAAATCACAGAATGTCTTTGGTTGGAAGAGACCTCCAAGATCATCTAGTGCAACCCTAGACCTAACACCACAAGCTCACCACTAAACCATGTCCCTAAGCACCAGGTCCACAACAGAATCAGAGAAAATACCAAAGGCTCTAAGAGTCACTAAAGGTTCTTATAATTTATCCTACTAATCTAAATTTACTAGCATGCTTGGTAAGATATAAAATAAAGGCAGATAATTTTACAGAGACTAATCTTTGATAGTTACGATAGTTACAGCTAATACAAAGAGGCAAAGCAACTTTCTCAAGGCCACACAGTAACTGCCTCCAGACAAAATTAACAATCCTTTATTTTATCCCTATACAATTGGAGAAGTACTGCACCTTCAGACTCTAATTTCTAACTATTCATAATGAAGTAGACCAGCTGAATCAGCCATAGCCTGGACTAACAGTTCTGCATATTTCTTATAATAAAATTTAGTGAGAGAAAACTTTTGCAATATTTAAGTTGTGCTGCAAAGTCAAATGTGATGTAGAAGCTCCAACAGTAAAGAGGATTATTATTATCTATGTTCTGATACGGCAAATGTCTAAAAAGTAGAACAGATTGAAACCAGGTGTTATGAATTAACACATAACAAGCATATTTTTAACCCTGAAGAAGATATTATGTATCATATCAGAAGCAGCAAAGCAACAAAAGGAATTAAATCCCACATGTTACTAAGTGTCAAAAGACATGACTGCTGGCAGATCAGAGACCTGTCACAAAGCTAAGGCTCACTTACAATAGCTACAAAAGCACTCTGGTTATGAAATATCAACTAGGCACGGCTGAGAAAGCTGCTGTTTAATGAAAGGTCACGACAGCATGGCTTTCTCTGGGCTGCAACGTAATCTGAACTCTGACATCGCCCTTATAATAAATAAATAAAAAATCTCACCAGTTTATAAATGACATTTTTGTCTGAACCATTATCTATTACTATGTGTTCTGTCAGCAATCGCCACAGAAGAAAGAGTTACAAAGATAAATGTTTTCTCCACCTGCTTTGTATGTCTGGCAGTGCTTTCAATGCAGTTTCTCTTGATTTCACTCATCTGTGTATCACTGCAACACTAGATAAATGTCCCCTTAAGAGGTGACTTCTGAAAAAGTGGAATACCTAACATGATTATTTCCATTTTATCTATCCACTGCACAGGTCAAAGCTGTCTCAGATATTAAAATTTATTATTTGCTAATTTCTCTTTACGTATAATGTATTGACTCTCCCATGCATTCAGAAAAACTAATTTAAATAATGCCTTAAATAATTTTATTTCATTAAGCTATTTTATCAATAGCCAAATAATGTCATCACATCCACATTAGGAATTGTATCAACAGAAGATGCTGTTGCAACTGACCAAGTAATTGACAGAATGAAGAATAATTTTGTGCTACTGTCAAAATCAAACCTGGTAAGAGTCAGCTTTCATCATCATTAAGCTCCTAGTAGATCAATCCATCACATACACAAATACCACATTACTACAAACTCAATGGCCCTGGGACAGACTTTGTGCTAAGTATTGATGCCTGCTGAATGCAAAAGGCAATTGTCTAGATAACCATGTGCCCTGATTTTTAATTCTCCCATTTGTCTCAGATGTTTACTGAAAATCAATGTAAAAACTAAATTTGAAAAAATAAAAGCTTCAAAGCAAATGCCATGCACAGAGCAGTTGGCTCCAAGTGCCTAATTTGATTAGCAAGAACTGAAAAACAGCTACAGAAATCCGACCACCCCCCAGTTTTCATCATATTCTCCACCCTGTGTATCACTGAACTGTTCTACGTATCAGATGGTCAAAGTGTCTTCTGTCAGTAAATTTTTTTCATGCAGCTTCCAGATCAGATTTTCCACAGAGGCACCCATCAGGAATGACAGGACGACAACAGAATAATTCTTACTTTAATCATCATTTTTTATGAGAAAAGGAAAGGGAATGAGATTGTTTAATGACATGAAAGATTAACACAAAAGGCTGTCTTCAGCAGTGCATAATAATTAGAGTTTGGTATGACTAGGTGTCATCATAAGTGATTAGTAAACTACCATTTCAGTTGACATCACAAAAGCTCTCATTTTAAGAAATGCTTTCATGAGCCCAGGCATCAGAAAAAGGAAAAAAAATTTACACAGTCACTAGAATCAGTCCTTCGTGAATGAAGAACCTTAAACTTCAAAAGGATCACAAAACACTTGCATTTAAATGAGAAGATTTGCATTCACTGAAATACAGCCAAGCTTATGTGTAAAGCACAGAGATGGTTCTACTCTGCACAGAGGTTTAAATACAAAACCACACCATGGAACATATGCTGACTGTTAGCACTCAGGAATTTTTATAATACAGAAAACAGGCAGGGTTTCCAGATTTACAAGCTCTGCAGGGAACTCTTCTGGCACAGTGCCTTAGATGAACTCAAAAAGAACACCAATTGCACCCAAATAACATTTAAAGCCTCTGCTTCAAGAGCCACTGTATCTGAAGGGTTTACTTTAACACAACAAAGCTGGTAAAATGTACCAAGGCAAGGTTTTCAATTTAAAAAACAGCCTAAGGAAACTATTCTTCCTATGACAGTTATGTAAAGGGGTCTCAACTTTTCAAGATAGCCTTAGGTATGTCTCAGTGACAGAATTTGTGCCTAACTAACCAGCAGGATTTCCAAGGGTGCAGTTAAGCTTTACAATAACATCAAATCAGAATGCAAAGTAGGGTCTATATTTCCATTGAAGGAAAACTCAGGCACAGGGGTGAGAAGAGTGTGTATGCTAGTGCACAGAACATGTTCCAAATTATGTTTCTCTTAGAGCCAACAAATAAAAATCACTGCCTTTTCCCTGTATCAGCCTCCAGTCTTAAACTCTGAATCCTGAAAAGCCTTTTGAAATACCCTACTGAGGCTTAAATTCATGTCTGAATCTGTAGGAAAAAGAATAAATCTAACATGTAAATGTACAGATAGAGACTGATTAATTCCTCTTTTGCATATGACAAGTCAAGATACTTTACACTTATATTTTATCTCATTTTCTATAAAGTCAGAACAGCACAGTTAATTTTACTAGCACCTTGCTCATCCACATCTTCCACAAATCAGTAAGTTTCTGTTTTTTCCTCGATTCAAAAATGTATTACTCAACATAACTCCTGTTCAGTAGCCTACCTAGGAAAAGAGCAATCAAATGACAATTAGCTCAGTGCTCTGATTTCTCCTAGTCAATATTAGCAATAAATGAACCACAGGTGACCCAGAGAAACAATATCTGAATACCTAGTTAGAGGTAAACTAATTGTAAAAATAAATTGTTGAAAATTATACTCAAAGACATAGAAGTTTGCAAGTGACACTTCAACTAAAGCAGTGGTATAATCTTGCAGCCCCTCTTTAATGCAACCAATATCACAAAGCTCGTATATGAAGATTAACTTTTTCTTGGTAATCATCTTTGATTCTACGCTTGCTAAATATGACTGTGCCATTCTGTCCTGGATGACTTGTTTTTGGCATGTTAGCACATTGGTATTCCAAATCCTCTTTAGCTGTGTAAGGAGAAAATGTTTAAGAGAACAACAGGTAAGAAGGGCAATAAAAACAGACACTGTACCTAACTGGTGAGATCTTCCATCCCCTAGTGGGTATCTCTGGTACCGTGGGACACTGAATGGAGGCAGGAGATGGAATCTTTTCTCCAGCAGTGGTTCAAGTCTGCAGGCCGAGGGGTCAGCAGAATGAAAGAAACTGTACACTTGGCTGCAGGCTGGGTGAATCTGGCATACTTGGATGAGAATGAGACAGAGAAAGAGTTCAGTATTGCCCCTTTACAACTTTCAAGGAGTCTATACAGAACCATGGTTAACACAGTCTTCTGCAAACTCCATATTAGCATTCGTCTGGTCAAACACCATGTTCAGTACAGCATTGGTCCCATGCACAAGCCAAACACATGCTTACCTTGAAACAATGGAGAAAGATGTTAGAGTTTTACTAGAAATTGTCATGGAATATTAGATCTAGTGGCGTTTATCTTAAGTGACATCTCTCACTAGAGCACTCAACATGCAATTAAAAAAACCCTGTCAATTAAAACCACACTGCTTCGGTTCTTTCTTGTTTTCAAGGGCAATAGTCAAGGTATTTATATACAAGCAAAACAACGAGCAAACTTGATACTATACATCTTCCTCTGATGCAGTCACAGAAAGTCATCATGAGCTACATCAGAAAACACTAGATTCTTACAAGTGTTCTCAAGTGCTTTCCATATTGCTGGAAGGACTCTATAAACATTCATGTTCTGGTGTTTGCTGCTATTATTGGTATACAGGAACAAATCTAGATACAGGCTACATTGGTGTTCTAAACTTAAAAACTGAGTTGTAACAGCAGCATTGCCACAAGCAAGTCAGAGCAACACTTTGTTTTCTTCTGGTCTATATAAATGTTTGCTCTTTACAGGCCACACCACAAGCAGGCCAGGTTTGTTGTTTTTTTTTCTCAGATTAGTAAGACAATTAACCTTTTACTGACCATAAAACTAAAAACTTTCTCAAGATACTCTGAGTATTATCATAAATCACATTCAAGGGAACCACTTTACTGCATGTGCTCTGTGACAAACTGTCTAGGACATCTATGTGCACATCACCAAGATGTGCCTCTCAAGAGGCACTCAGCCTCTCAAGAAATGCTTTGGGACAACAGTTCCAATAAGACCTTTATATGGTCCAGTTCTGTCAAACGATGAACATTTTGGCCCACTGAGGAATGAGGTGGGAGCCCTGGTGACAGAGGATATAAAGAAGGCAGAGGTGCTGAATGCCTTCTTTGCCTCTGTCTTTATTCCTGCAGGATTTCCCCATGAGCCCCAGATTCATATAGCCCCAGAAGAAGTCAAGATAGAGGAGGAGTTTGACATAGTAGATGAGGATTGGGTTAGGGATCAGTTGAGTAATCTGGACATCCATAAATCGATGGGTCCAGATGGAATGCACCCAAGGGTGCTGAGGGAGCTGGAGGAGGTCATTGCTAGGCCACTCTCCATCATCTTTGGTAAGTCATGGGCAACAGGAGAGGTGCCTGAGGACTGGAGGACAGCAAATGTCACACCAGTCTACAAGAAGGGC